ACCGTGGGGTACTCGCTGTCACTCCTCACCCTCGTCTCTGCCCTGCTCGTCCTCACTGTCTTCAGGTAGGAGACCCAGGGCACATGGTCCTGCCCCTTGTCCTCCCCACCAGTGGTGGCCGAGCTAAGGGGTACTCCCCACACTCTCACTGCCGCAGGAAGCTCCACTGCACCAGAAACTACATCCACGCCAACCTCTTCGCCTCCTTCGGGCTGCGGGCCACATCGGTGATGGTGAAGGATGCACTCCTGGAGAGGCGCTGGGGCATGGAACTGGTGCAGGTGGCTGACTGGGAGGCTCTGCTGAGCCACGAGGTGAGTGCTGCCCCATGGGGTCCCTGCGTGGTGCTGGGCTGGGATCACCCCAGGGAGAGGTGTGCAGCGGGTGCTGGTGCTCAAGCAGCCGCAGGAATCTGCTGAGTGAGCTCAGGGGGTGCCCATGCGGAGCTCTTGGGGTGCTTGTGCCCGTGGATGAGCCCGTGGGATGCCCCATGGTGGGTATCCCCTCACAGGTGGCGCTGGGCTGCCGGGCTGCGCAGGTGCTGATGCAGTATTGCATCCTGGCCAACCACTACTGGTTCCTGGTGGAAGCTGTCTACCTCTACAAGCTGCTCATCGGGGCCGTCTTCTCTGAGAAGAATTACTACAGGCTCTACCTCTACCTGGGCTGGGGTAGGGGCCACCCGGGCATGCAGTGGGGCTGGCGGCAGGATCTGGGGTCGGTGTGGGTTGTGGCCCTGGGAGGGTGCAGGGAGGGGGCTCTGCTGACCCTGGATGTCCCCACGGTGCTCCCTGCCCCGGGACTGGTCTCTGAGCTCAGGCGGGTGCTTGGTTTTACAGGGTTTGCTGTGTGACTTGCAGGGACCCCCGTGGTGTTCGTGGTGCCCTGGGTAGCCGCCAAGTACCTAAAGGAGAACGCGGAGTGAGTGGCAAGGAATGGGGGGGGTCCTGTTGGGATGCTCAGCCCAGGATGGGCACTGGGATAGAGGTTGCTGTGGGTCCCTGACCCACTGAGCTGGGGCTGGCATGCTCTTGGCTTCATCCTGCCCTCACGCATGGTGTGATGGTGCTGCTCTCCCTGTATCCCTGCACAGGTGCTGGGCACTGAATGAAAATATGGCTTACTGGTGGATCATCCGCATCCCCATCCTGCTCGCCTCCCTGGTACGGGCACCATGGCCCCATGGCTTTCCCAAGAGCAGCAGTTCTCCAAGGCATCGTGCTAAACACACGGGTTGTTTTGTGCACCAGCTTGCTAATGCACGAGTTCCGAGAGTCCATGGAGGGGTGGTTGTGCTGAGCCCCACAGAATGGGGCTGGGTGTGGCCCCTGATGCTTCCCAGTCAGGATTTTGGGATGGTGGGAGGGGAGGAAGCTCTGAGGACCCAGTGCTGCTGGGCTGCAGCAGCCTTAGCAGTATGGGAGAGTGTCATCTCCCACAGCACCCAAGGGTGCGTATCGTTGTCAGGGTGGGCTGTGCCCCGCTATGCAGGATGCTGGGTGTGCAGAGTGCCCAGGTGTGCAGGGTGCTGGGCTGTGTGGGCCCCTGCACTGTCTCCTCCTGCAGATCAACCTGCTGATCTTCATGCGGATCCTCAAGGTGATCCTGGCCAAGCTCCGGGCCAACCAGAAGGGCTACGCAGACTACAAGCTGCGGTGAGCTGGGAGGGCCATGGGTCCTCCTGCCGCCTCCTACACCACCTCCACCTCCCCATCCACCCCTACCCTGCACCACCGTCCTGCACACCATGAAACAGCCACCCTGAGATCACCAAAGAGCTTGTCCCTGACCGTATTAGTGCCCCAGCACTTCAGTACTCTCTGCTAGAGGAGTCCCCTTATTCTTTCAGGCTGGCCAAAGCCACGCTCACCCTCATCCCCCTCTTTGGGATCCACGAGGTTGTCTTCATCTTCGCCACTGATGAGCAAACCACAGGCATCCTGCGCTACATAAAGGTGTTCTTCACCCTCTTCCTCAACTCCTTCCAGGTGAGGTGGGAGCCTTTCCTCTGCCATGCACCATGCAGCAAGAGCTGGGGGGGTCCCTCTTCCAGCACGTTATTCCCACCCCATGGTGCTCCAACCTCAGGGATGGGGACCTCGAGCCATGTCATTGAGTGCATGATGGTGCCTCCCATGCTCTCTGGGGCTGTGGTGGCAGGGAGACCTTGCTCCCAGAAGTGCCCACAAGTGGCCTAGGGAAACTAGACCTATCTTAGCCCCAGTGAGGCTCACTCCCCTCCCCTGCTCACCCTCCAGGGCTTCCTCGTGGCTGTGCTCTACTGCTTTGCCAACAAGGAGGTACGTACCTGCTGCAGCTCCTGCTCAGAGCACGGCTCAACCCTGCCTTGGCCAGAGGCTTTGCCTTGCTGCTCATGCTGCAGGAGGGCGCAGCCAGGGCAAAGCCCCTGCTCACTCCTGTCTGTGACAGGTGAAGTCAGAGATGAAGAAGAAGTGGCAGCTCTGGAAACTCGACCACCCGGCGCTCTGCTGTGCCCAGTGATGTGGCACCCGGCCCTGCAGAGCCAGGGAGAGGGATGTGGTGGGTGCAGGGACCTGGCGGGAGGGCAGCACTCCTGGATGGCTATGCTGGGACCAGTATCTCTGCTGTGCCCCACCTGAGAGCACTGGAGCTGCTGGGGGGATGTTCCCCTTCTGTGGTCCAAAGTGAGGCAGGTGCCTTTGGCTGCTCCCTCAGAAGAGCCTCACCTCACTTGGTGAGCTGCATGGGGAATGCTGCTCCTTCCTACCATCAGCTAGCTCTACTGGCACCCACCAGATGTGTTCATGAAGCCCCTTTCCCATCTGCACCAACTTGGGCACCTCTAGAAGGGGATTGTGGCTACTAGAGAGGAGCCTGTCCATCAGCAGAGAACAAGCAGCAGGGAATGGGAGATGCTGCTCAGCCAGGCAGTGCTGACAAAGATCCACACCCCTTGCCTGGTGAACCAGCACCTCCTGCTGCACTCGGGGCTGTGCCAGCACTGTTCCCATCCAGGACACCACCTTCCTGCTCTCCTTGCCCTAAAGACCATTTCTTCAGCACACCAAGAGCTCCCAGACATCCATTCCAGAGCTATCCTGCACAGTTCCCTGTAGAGAGATGCTTCTGCTGCACCTTCTCACGCTGCTCACATCCGGTACAGATCATGGCATCAGCTCTCCAGCAGCACAGATCTGCACCTCGGGGGTCCTTCCTCTGAGCTCCTCCTGCAGCAGATTCCCCAAGACTCCTTGCAGCAAACAGAGCCACAGCAGCTGCACTCCTGTAGCTTCCTGCAGTGCTTGAGCACTTGGAATGCATTCACTCTGCACATGAAGGGCAGTGCTGCTGCTCCCTCAGTAACAGGAACATCACACGGGAGTGTGATGGACCCAGCACCAAGTTCAGCACCAACTCTGCAGCAGGGAGAGCCAAGAAGCCCGGGTAGGAGCCACGCTTGGCTCAGGGACAGTTTTGCTGGCAAAAGAGTGGTGTCCCCAAGTACAGATGTGCAACAGCTGGCATTTGGGATGTTTGCTTCCTAGTAGGGTGCCAAAGCCACAACTGCTGCCTCTTGCTGAGTGACCCCAGGGCACCAAGGAGCACCTACACCTCTGCCTTTGCAAGTGAAACATCGAGGCTGTGTTGTTTGAATAGTGCTGCATGCACCTGGCTTACAGCTCCTTTCCTGGCACTGGCACTCTGCTCCCATGGGAGCAGAGCAGCTCAGATGCTATCCCCCGACCCTCTTGCTCTTGCCCCTTCAGCAGCAGCACAGACATGCTGCTGAGTCTGTTGTTGTATCGCACGATGCTTTACCTTGGGAAAAGTCTGCTCTGGGAGGGAGGAAGCAGCTCTTGCTCTTCAATGCGTGGATACAGGGGGCTCGACATCTCCAGCCGCCTCTGCTCTCAGCCTGGGACAGAGCCTTCTGCAGATGCAGCATCTCAAGGAAGGTGGCCTTGAACCCAGGAAGGAAAGAGTCTGTGCCCAGCTCATCTGGGCCTGAGGCATGCACGGGTGTTCCTGGCTCCTTGTAACCCCTCTGAGCCAATTTTACACATTAACTCTTTTCAGATGTAAATAAATGTTTATTTTTCAGCAAGCAGAGCATGTTGCTTCTGTCAGCTCTGAGGGAGGGGAACACAGACGCAAATGCAGCCATATATCTGAGGGCACAGATTTGTGCTTCGGCACACACCCTCTCAGGGAGAGGGCATTAAAAAGGTCCCCAGAGAGGCTGGCTCAACCCAATCAGCCTCCCCCACTGCCCTGTGCTTCCAGGTGCTTGCTGAAATGCTGTGCAAGATAGCTGAGAAGAAACAGGTAACAGCTCTCAACACTGAGGACTTTGAATCTTGGCACAAGAGGGAAAGCTCCGGTGGCACACCAGCCCATGTGGGGGCTGGCTGTAGGACACAACACTGCTAAGAAACCCAATTTATGTTGAAATACATCAAGAGCTTTAGTTTTGACCAGAAAGAGATGTTAATGTTGCCCTAGTCAAAGCTCTCTGTGACAGCTGCTGAATGGTGTCCTCCTCAGTATGTGGTTCTAGTGAGCAAGAAGTTGGGGGAACAGTCACACCAACAGCTCACAAGTCTCAAAGCAGAGCTGGGCCTAAGGTGAGAGGAAAACACTAGCACACCACTCAACAAAGCTTAAACTTACTTCTGAGTTAGTGCAGAGAAACAAACTTTCGTCATGCAACTGGGACCGCAGCAGGGCATAAGCAGTGATCCCAGCCAGGAAGAGAAGAACCCTCAGGGGAGCATCCACTGTATCACTCAGCCATGTTCTTCCTCTACAGCCCTGGCGCTGCCTGACCACATAAATTCCTATATCACATCCAGCAGGAGCCAGGCAGGGCTGGGAAGCCTTGGATAAGACAGCCCCTACAGCCCTCAGCACATGACCACATGGGAAAGGAAGCTGGAAAGCACAGTATGCATTCCCAATAGTCCTGAAAGACATGAGGGAGGCTATTCATGAATTATACAACCTCACACATCAGAAACAGGTTTCCATATTTTATTATTTCATCCAGGTCAGCAAACAGGATTTCACTCGGACAGCACCGGACCCCCACTGCCTGCACAGCCCTCACTTCAGCTCTGCATGCTGTGTGAAGTGCCCCAGTGAAGGGACTCCCTCTCCTCAAGGAGCCACTGTTCTATAAAATCCCCTTAGGCTATTCTAACACCCCTTTAAGCCTTTACAGCTGAGCTCCTGCAGCACCTTTTTGTAGGGCTCTCCTTTTCCTTCACACATACACAGCTGCATCTCACCCACCCTTTTTCCCAGGCCCCCAAACATTACTATCTATTGGATGTATTCCCTTAACCCTCCCAAACCCCTTTTCTTCCACCCTATGACCAAGCAAAGCCAGCCCAAAGAGATGTTTGTGTTGCCCTTTTCAAAGCCAAGTCTGTGCAGTTTCTCCTTCCAGCCACCCTCTTTTCCAATCAGCTCTGAATGCATTGCTGAGCCAGGGCTTCCCCTACTCTCCAGATGCTCCCAGACCTATCCACTTGGATTTGTGGGGTTTGGGTTGAAATTTCTTTTGCTTCCATGAAAACTTTTCCCCTTTCCACATAGACATCTTGCCTTAAATTCAAATCTGGGCTTCTAAGGGACACAGCACTGACAACCATGTGCTAGTGCAGCCAGACAGAGCACCAAGATTCAGGGAGAGGGCAGTAAGTGCCTTGGCACTCTCCACCATTCCTCCAGCAAGGGGGAACAGAGGATAAAGCCCAAGATACCTTTCCCAGTACAGCCTCAATGCTCTGAGTAGCCTTCAAAGATGCTGCCTTAGCAGAACTGGCTCTACCTCACCAAAACTAGCTCTTCAGGGTGAAATTTTCCTGTCCTGAGATCACCCACAGCAGCACAAGAATGCCTTGGCAGAGCTATTTCCAAAAACTAAAGCCTGGAAACCAAACACAGGCAGTGGTTGGGGAACAAAGCTTTGCACCACCACTGCACCTGGGATGATTTCTTTTGCTCATCTCCCATGTGGGATATATCTATCCCTTAGTTCCCATCCTGCCTGCTCTGGCACTCTGCTGCTTGCCAGAGGAGCAGGAGACTGAGCAGTCTCAAACTCTGTTCTCTCTCATGTACTTTCAGGGGAACATCTGCCTTGAAACCACTGTCAGTGTTGGGATCTTGGCACTGACAAACCAGACAGGCAGAATCTCTGCCATAAAGCACTTACCACAAAAATGAGTTCCTTGGGACTGAATAACATGATCACAAACAACCCAAGGAGGGCCAGAATCTGAACCGAACCAGGGTGAGCTGGCTGGATAGAGAGGTTTTGAAGTACGCAGCTGGGATGGCAGTGGAACAGATATTCCAGCTACAGCCTGCTGCTTGAGGTTTGCAGACTGCTCACTTCACCCACCTCCAACAAACCTGCCTTCCTTATTGCCTTAAATACACTTTCTGGGCCTGTGCCATGATGCATTATCTGTGCCAATCCACATGGCATAAAAGGAGGCACAGCAAGTGTCAGAGGCCCTGGGGAGCATGGGATGCAGAAAAGGATAGTTAATTAGATTGCTGTGGGTAACTCTCAGCTTTCTGCCACTACACAGTCCTGAATGATAAGGACTGCAGGAAGCTTAAGGCAGATAAAACTTCTGGACTCAGTGCTTCTCCTCATAACTTAACCTTTTGGTATGAGCAACCATGATCCTGGGAACGCAGACAACAGTCAGGTCCAAAGAGCTGCTGGGTTGTTGTCTCCTGCTGACGCTCCTCCTCCCAGGCATGTTCTCTTGCAGCTGCGACCTTCTTCCACGCATCCACCAGCTGCTTTGGCCCTCCCAGGAGAGCTGCAGTGCTGCCAGCATGGTCCTTGCGCTCACTCTCCCAGGCACACTCAGCTTCCGGGTGGAACAGTCACCCGACGTCAGTATTCCTACAGCCACAAAAAGAGGACAGACACATTTTCAGTGGGACAGAGACAAGGGGGGGTAAAGGCTTTTCCAAAGGGAAAACCAATCAGAGAGCACATAAGGGTCAGTTAAAGCGCAGCCTCAATGTGCAGGCTTTGAGTGAGCACTGGGCACACTCAGCAGATGGCTGTTACTCGCTGCAAGGAATGATGTCTCCCCTCAATGCCACAGCCCTCTGGGTGTCCTTAGCTCCCACTCACCCTCCTGCTTTATTACGGATTGAGCCAGCTTTGCCCACTCTGCCCTGGGGGTTGGAGCCTTTGGAGGTTTTCAGTCACAGTCTGCAGAGCTTTTCCTGAGGACCAAACAAAAGGAAAATAAAAATAAAAATCAGTGTTAGCAGTGGGCCAGCAAGCAGCAAAGGGCAGGTTGCAGTTTGCATTCAGCCACTGTTATTCTGCCTCCATGCTCCCTTTTCCCTTGCAGCTTCCAGTGTTTCAAAACCAGGAGCGTCTTTACTCTATGACTGCCTGTTGCTAGGACAAGTTCCCGTCAGAGAACATGGCACAGGCTTTGGGAAACACTTCACAAGCAGCTCTGACCACAGAGCAGGAGAGATGCAGGGGCCACGTATACCTTCCTTCTCAGCAGAGGATGAGGCAGAGCCCAAGATCTGCAGTGAGATCAAGTGCAAGGAAATGCCAGCACCAACTTTAGAACCTGGAGACTTCCCTCAGTGAGAGGGGACTGTTAGGTCCCCCCAAACTACCACTGTCAAAGCATGAAAAACCTGTCCAGCCATGCCCCCCTTTCAGCACAACAGTCACTTCTTGTGCCTGTATTCCTCCCTGACCTTACCCATTTCTCCCACACACTCCTCTAGGACAGCTGACAGCTCAGGCAAGCTCAGAGACTTCAGGGAAGGTGGCCATCCTTCCAGCACTGCAAGAAAGAGGAACCACACATTTAATCAACCTGCATGCTGTGACAAGAGCAGAGACAAGGGTTTGGTGTGGATGCTGCAAAACACCCACACCCAAAGTGGTTCCAGTCAGGGGTTCTGAGTCAGTCATAGGGGAGGAGAGCTAGAACTGCCTGTAACAAACTGAGGGGGGTTCCTAACAATTCTACCACTTAACTTTTTTATACTGTCTGGATCATATATTACCAGACTCTCAAAGAGATTAATCGTGGTGGACAGAAATCAAGAGAATCTCTACTTGACTCACTTTTAAAAACACACACAGCCAGGAGCACATCTCTAGAAGCATGTAATGGGCAGCAGGATTATTTGCTAACCCCTCATGATGAGCAGCTGGTGGGCCCAACCACATGCAGCAGTTTCTCCACAAACCCCAGATCAGGTCAGGGAACCAGCCATGGCTCCAGATTCAGACCTTGCTCTAGTCCATAGCACAGCAACGCACCGAAGGTGCCCACACACTGCCACGCAGGAAGGGGAAGCCAGAGGCCCCTGGAGCAGGGCTGCCACTGGGTGCCCGTGCTACAGCTTTGCACTTTTAGCCACAAACACCTGCCAGAGCTCCAGACTTCCTACTTGCTAAGAATCAAAAGCTGCTGAGAAACTCTGCTGCAGTTAAAATCCAAATGCCCCAAGCGCTTTAAATCCTTTCCCGAAGCAAGAATTTTTACATTCAATTTAAAGGTTTGGCTGTTCATCTGTTTCCAAAATCACTTCTAACTTCATCTTTCTAGCACATGGCTTGCTCTGGGGTCTCCTCCTGCCCACCCACCCTCTGCACCCAGTGCTGTAGTTGATAAGGTCTTCCTCACCAGGCTGCCTGCTTTCACCAGTTCCCAGCTGCACCTCTGTGTCCAGCACTCTGCCCACTGCCTGCTCCTGGGTTAGCCGGGAGGACAGCTCTGCTTGACAGCATCTGCCAAACAAGACAAAAGCCCATCACGAGTGCACAAGGACACTTCCTGGAACAACATGCCAGTCTGTGCACTCCTACATCCTGCAAGTACCTGCTTGGGGTGCCGAGAGACCACATCTAACGCCCTGGGTTACAAACTGCTCCTTGTTCCTTCCCAGGAAGAGGAAGACGTGCCCCAGACAAAGCTCAGGGCGCTCTCCACTGTGCCCCATCTCCACAGCAATCTCTGCCCCTGTCCACAGAGGAGCTGCGGGGGGAGAAGAGAAGGAAGGGGCGGGATGAGCAGGAGAAAGCCCAAGCCAGGGGCTGCACCTGATTTATATGAGAATCAAGCCTGATCCAAGTTTTCTAATGGGCAAATGAAGCTACCTCAGGACAGGCATCAGGTTAAAGCAAGAGAAGCATACAAATTTCTCTGGCTATCATCAGCATGCCACTAATTCAAACAGTGTATCCCCAGAGCATGGCAAGGCCCTTCTACCAGGCAGCCTCAGCTCCTCAATTGGGGGGAAAAGTCAAGTGCTCTGCCCCTTACAGCCTGGGATATTGTGCTGCTGTCCTGGAAGCCAATCCCAGTTCACCTTGGTTTGGTAGTGAGCAACCCTGTTGGGCTAAGGTCTACAAGCTGTAGGATTACTGCTGCCTTCAAGGACATCTCTGTTCTACCAATGGACAAGCAGGACCATGGCACGGGTCCAAGTGGGACAGGGAGGAAAGCACCACATAGGCAACAAAAGGTATATTAGGAGGTGGGGGAAGACAGAACTTAAACGCAGTGGTGTGACTGAGCAGGACAGGCTCTTCTGTTAGCTGTCGGAGTTTTAAGAAAAGTGTTCCTCACTAGCCAGGGTAAGGCATTGCAAATCTTCTCATGTAAGCACAAACAAAACACTTGGGCTTTTGGTTTTAGTTGAAACAAGAGCACACACCATCCCTGGAAAGTTGGGCCATTTATAGCTCATGCACCTGATTAAGGCTTCGCATCTGCTCATGTGCCTGGGGTTTCCCACTAGAGTAAGTCAGGCAGGATACAAAATGGGTTCAGACACCTGGTGAGCGTTTCTGCCTTACCCTGAGCATCACCTGCAAGACTGCCACCATGATTGCTTAAATCCCATTTCCCAGTAGCCTCAGCGCCACTTCCTGGGAATAACTTACTTGATTTGATTCAGCAGAACTCCAGCATCCTTGGTGATGGCCTGAGCCTCTCTGAGCTGGCACTGGATGGCATTCCAGGTCTCATCCCGCTCCATCAAACAGCTCTCAGCCACTGCACGCAGCTTCTGTTCCTGGCACACCTGGCCCTTCATCACCTCCACCTCTTCACACCTCTGCAGCAGAGCAGAGCAGGGTTAGGCTGGGACCTTGAAAGCTTATCTAGTCCACCCACCCTGTAATGAGCAGGGACATCAACTAGATCACCTTGCCCAGAACCACATCCAGCCTGGCCTTGAATGTCTCCAGGGATGGGGCATCCACCACTTCTCTGGGCAACTTGTGCCAGGGTTTTACCACCCTCATTGTAAAAAACTTATTTCTCACATCCAGCCTGAACCTCCCTCTTTTAGTTTAAAGCCTTCACCCCTCATCCTGTCGCAACAGAGCCTGCTAAAAAGTCTCTCCCCGTCTTTCTTATAAGCCCATTTTAAGTACTGAAGGGCCACAGTATGATCCCCCCAGAGTCTTCTCCATGCTGAACCACTCAAACGCTCTCAGCCTTTTAAACACAGTTTCCCCCACACACCAAGACCAGCCTCACAGTTATAATTCCCCCCTTCCTCTCCATTAGCAAAGATACTCAGTAGGCCCAATTTCCCCTAATCAACAGAAGTCTGTTTACTAATAGCTGCACAAATTCACCATAAAAATGACACTACAGAAGAAGAGTAGGTATTCAATTCCTCCCACTTGCCTTTTTAGTTCTCAGGTGGATGGGAAATGGAGACATAAAGGCTTCACAAGCATACAATCCAGAGGATGAGGAGTGGATAAGCACTTACGGTGTTACCTGACTTAACACTGTGTCCACCAAAAGCTATGCCTTTTCCTTTCCCCTGAGCCATTCAAGGCACGAGAAGAAAGATAGGCTCCCAATCACTGCAGTGTGTTAATCATTGAGCAGCTCATGGCAGACTTCTTACCTTGTGCAGCTGAATGGCCAGTTCCTGCATCTCTGCCTCCAGCCGGTCCGCGTAGGCCAGCTCCAGGGCATCACTGGGCGGCCGAGCATTGCTGTGCCACCGCGCAATGGCAGAAGTCATCTTCCTTTTTGGGCCAAACAGACTGCGGGCAGAATGGCAAACTGTCAGGGACCAAACACTGAGCCAGCAGTTCCCAGGCCCATGGATGCCATGAAGACCTCTGCAGCCTCCTGGCTCCTCCAAAACCAGGAGCCTGTTACAGCCAAGAGCTAGGGGATTTACAAAATTGCATGGGAGACAGCCAGAACAGAAAAATCACTCACTAGCTAAACCTTCCTGACCAGGTTGTGTGCAGGGTTTGTAAGGTGAAAGATGAGAACTACATTACAGGCACTCACGTGATGCCTATTTCTTTGAGGTCACTCTCTGTGAGTGTCAGGAAGATCCGAAGGTCAACATCTTGCTCCTCAAACACTTGCAGATACTTCAGGCACCCGATCTGTTCAAGGAACGTTGCCAGGTCCTGCAGCACATCCAAACAAACTTAGTTATACCCTCACCAACAAACACCTAACCATTCCTCTTAATCACAAAGATCTGCTTCCTCATGTCGTTGCTGTGCTTTTCTAGCAGCAACCATGATTTCCCCTGGTTAACTGCCCTTCTCCACAGTCACATAACACAAAAGGACCGACCTGCTTGCTGCGGCCATTGCCTCTTGTAACAAATGCAGAGAAGACAGCAACATCTACCTTAGCCCACATGCCAGCTATGTTTGGTAGCACACCCACAAGCATGAACGTTCTGAAATACCTCACTAAGCAACAGCAACACCTAAGCAAATAGTTCTTGCACAAGAAATTGCTATTTAACAAGCATTTAAGTTTGGGCAGAGGTTTGGAGTCAAAGGTGTTTTGGTGACAACCTCCCTTTTATCCAAGAAAGTGGCTTAGGCAACCGTGGCAAAACTTCCTGTGCTTGATACACTAACACTGCATCACTGCAGATGGCTCTCTGTGTGCAGTTACCTGGGGCCCTGTGTAGGAAGGGGGCTCAGGAAGGAGTAGGTGCTGACTAGAGCTCCCAGCTTTCCCTGGGCAGTGGGTCCACTGGCTATCACTGTTGCTGTAGCGGTTCTTGATCTTAAAGCTCTTGGCTTGTTTCCGACTAGGGGGACTGTTTGCATGGTCAGAGTCCTGCAAGAAAGAAAAAACCCACAAACTGTAAGGGTCGAGGATGATCATCCAAAGATGTCAGGATCACTACAGTTAACAAATGCAGACTCCTCCAGGTCCCAGCCTCTAAACCCAGACAGCCATCCACAAACACAAGCAAAGACTAGCAAAGCCCTCATTAGGAAGGGCTGAGTCAAGTCACTCCCAAGAGGCAGCTTGGCACCATGGAATGCTATCAGGCTCTTGCAATCCCACCTTAGGAAGCAACATGCCAGAGAAAGCCAAAACAGAGAGCAACACTGAGTCCTCCCTGAATTAATACAATGCACTAAGATTCTACCTGTGAGAAGCTCCTCAAGATACAGGAGACTTCTGCTGATGCTCAGCTAACACCCTTTTGTACATTAGCATCAGAGCTATTGTCTTGAACCATGTGAGCTGCGACAAGAACCACAGAGTAATCTCCAACTTCTTTCCTTTTCTTCTGTACTTCAGAAATTCCAACACTGCTGCACTTCCCTAAATCTTACTATACTACCTACTGTCTCACCAAGCTCAAGGACTGCCCTAGCTGTATAGTCACTTCCTTTCTTGACCACCATCTAGCCAGACATCTGCAAAGAGGTAAGTTCTCTTTAGAAGCTGGAGAGGACTTAATTACTGTCTAGCCATCAACAGCCTACTCTAGAATGAATGTACTCCAAGAGTTGACTACTAGCTGGAGATCAAACAAGGCAAGCCATAATCTTCCAATATAGAAGCTGGTTCTCTTACCCCTGTAATACCACCCTTCCTCACCCAGCCTGGTACTGAAGCCTCCTGTAGAGACAGAATCATAGCAGGCTGTGGAAGGGTGACAGCACTGGCCAGGCTGAAGGCAGAAACAGGAAAACTGAAAATCCCACCTCATTGCTTTCCAATGAGCCTTCACTGCTGACTCCCAGGGCTTTGGTCAGGCATTCACTGCTGCTGCTGCTGCTCCTGATGGCTGCTAAGTTGTTGACAAGGAAAACATTATCCTCTGGAAAGGAATGGGAAAAAAAAAAAAAAAAAAAAAAATCAGGTTCAACTCCCTTATGCTCAGTGCTGGTTTTGCTACACAATTACCAGCAAAACCTGGTGGAGGTGTAAAGGAAGAAGCCCCTGAACAAGGCTTTATATCCAATACTCATGACACAAGACAATTTTGAGACAGAAATATCTCATGTCTGATCCCAGACATTAATCTTTCTCCAAGTCTGTTTACTACCACAGAGAACAGGAAGGCTGAGTGTGCGTCTCTGTGAGGCTCTTGGCTATGAGGTGGCATCCTGATTTCAACTGGGACAGACTTATTTTTCTTTCTAGTAGCTGGTACAGTCCTGTGTTTTGGATTTAGGATGAGAATGTTGATAACACACTGATGGTTTAACTGCTGCTGAGCAGGGCTTACACTAAATCAAGGACTTTCCAGCTTCTCATGCTGCCCCACCAGTGAGGAGGCTGGGGGAGCAGGAGGAGCTGGGATGGAAAACAGCCAGGACGGCTGACCCCAACTGCCCAAGGGACATCCCATGCCTATGGTGTTGTGCTGAACACTAAAACTGGGGGAAGTTGGCTAGTGGGTGGCAGCCTGCTGGACATCCATCAGCAGGTGGTGAATAACTGCACTGTGCACCACTTATTTTGTATATTCTTTTACCATTATTACCTTTTTTACTTGTTTTCCATCCTCCTAAACTGTCTTTATCTTAACCCACAGGTTTTACCTTTTTCCCCCAATTCTCTCCCCCATCCCACCAGGGGAAAGTGAGTGAAAAGCTGTGTGGGGTTTAGCTGCCTAATGGGTTAAACCACAACAGAGGGAAAAGTGATTTATTACTACCCAGCCTATGTTCCCATTAGTAAAGCTCAGGAAAGGCCTTTCCTTGAGCCTAGATCCACTACAAAGCCACATTTATCCTCTATTAATTCAGGAACTGTCTAGATCCTTCCTTTGTGCTGCTTCAGAGAATGATGAGGTTGGAAGGCACCTCTGGAGATCATTTTCTTCAAACCCCTGCTCAAGCAGGACCACCTACAGCAGGCTGCCCAGTACCATGTCAGGAGCATCTGCAAAGATGGAGACTCCACCACCTCTCTGACACCCTGATTCAGCGTGCAGTAACCCTCACAGTAAAAACAAACATTTCCTTATGTTCAGAGGGAGACTCCTGTCTTTTGGTTTGTGCCTGTTCCCTCTTGTCCTGCCAGTGGACATCACTGAAAACAACTTTGCTCCATCTCCTTTACACCCTGTCTTCAGATTATTTGTACAAATTGATGAGATCCCCACTGAGCTCTCTCTTCTGTAGGCTAACTCAACACAGCTGTCTCAACCTTTCCTCAGGAAAGATACTCCAACCCTCAATATCTTATTGGGAAAGGAACATGCAAACCAAGGGCTTGGTCTTACATCTATCTGCAAGCCAAACTATTTCCAGGAAGTGACTTACCCCTGCTGCTGCTGCTCTCCACATCCTGCTCATTAATTGGAGAGGTAACATCCCTGTTCCGGATATTCTCTGCTTCACAGCTGCCATCATCATTGAAGGTGACATAGCCCTGAGGAGGGACCTGCTCTGTGTGCAAGAGGAAAGAACAACAAAGATTAGGATGCAAGTTATCAGGGATGCTCCTGCAGGAAAAACAACCACTCAGGGATTTTAAATTAATCAAAAGAAGATACTGTCTTCTCAGCTGGCAGTTTTCATTCTAAAAAGCAGAGTCCACCAGCCTCCTTCCCACAGACACACATCTGCTGTACCAGATTTGGATGGCTGCATTGAACATAAGTCAAGAGGAAACAGCCTCATAGCAGAGATGCACCTAAAGCAGCAGCTTTCAGCATTTCCTCTCCTCTTCATACCAAATTGTCAAAGGGAAAAACATCTGCTTAAAAAAGCAAGCTGCCAGATACACCACATCCCCAGCCAAGCACACCCTGTGAAACCAGCCCCTAGCATCCCACTTATTTAAGAGGCTGACAGTATCATTTCAATACAGCCACTTCCCACAGGATAATATTTATCTGTATTAGCAGAATGAACTGAATTTTTAACACACTTTTAAGTCCACATTCTTAAGTTATTCTAGACAACTAGGTAATCAGCCTGAGAAATACCTACTGCTATGACACATGCACAAGAAAACTCATACCACTCTATCCAGGGACTGCTGTCTGAATTGGGATCATATTTCTCTTGGCCTATTGCAAAGGGTTTGTAATCTCATTTTTAGCAGCACTTCATGCATCAGGGAAGACAAAACTGACAGATCGAGGAGCAGTGAGTTCACTTTCATCATCTATGATTTCTTGGCCTGTGTGACCACTTCCTCTGTCATCAGTTTCAGAAGGGTTCTCAAACTTCCAATCCTACCTCAGAAAGGGAAGCTGAACTGCTCTCAAGAGTCAGGGGAACAGTAATTGAGGTAAGAGCAGTGTTTGTTCCATATAAGTGTTCCACCCATCAATAATCAGCCCCAACATAAAAGAGTTCAAGAGGTTTTCTTTTGAAAACACAGATTGGATAGCCTTTAAGATGGTGTTTGCTATCTTTGTTCCTGTATAAGCCACACATGAATCCCAAATAAAGAGAAAATTGCTGGCACAGAAGTAGCTGCAAAGCATTTGAGACCTCAAAGGACTTTCACTTCAGCTTCTAACTATCCTTACCATAGTGAGACTGCTTCTTTCCCCCAATTCCTACTGCTGTTATCTTAGCCAAAGCCTGGGGCCCATCATGGATGCTGGGACCCTTGGTCCGACGAACAGGTCTCTGTCTCTGGGGAGCAGAGCACGATTCATCTGAGGAACTCAGCTCTTCATATTTTCCTATAGTTCAAACACAAATTGTTAGCAATACAGTTATAACTTACCCAGTTTATTTCTACTGGTCCTATAAATGCAGTGGAAATAAAAGAAACTTTGAAGAAGAAGGGTTAAACAGTTTATCTAGGTCAGAAAAGGGCTAGCAGACAAAAAAATTGTTGGATCCATGCCTCTTCCATCCCCAGAAATGCTGGAATTTCCAGGATAGACCACCTATTACTACATACAGCATCATGCTTTCAAAACATCAAACGCCTCTTTTCAGGGCCTATCTTACAATGGGCAAGCTAAAGCACATCTCTCTTACCTGGACCCCTACAGAAGACCTTGGGCACTGGGGCTGCGTGCAAATCTATCAACCCCACAATCTTTGTATGTCCATACTTCATGGCCAGTGTTCGTGCTGTGGCTCCAGTGTTATCTCTTACATCTGTCTTCACTCCCTGTACAAAAAAAAAAAAAAAACATGTTTAAAACACAGACAGCACTACATACAAAAGAAGCAAGAAGCTAAAGGATTGTCTTAGCTCTTCCATCAGAAACAGGCTCATTTTTGACAGGCAGTTCATGCTTCACTAATACCTTGCTGCCTTTGCAGATACCAGTATTGCTGTATACACCCAGCATTGCTGCAGGGAGCTAGCTTGTTTTATCTGAAAAATGTTTTGCCTTGCTGCCTCCTTCTGGAAGTAAGCTGGATCACATGAAAGAACATCAAAACCAAGTTGTTTAACAATGAGACACACATGCTCATAAGCTTTTGGAGGCAGCAGATTCCCACTAGCCTGAGCATGCAAGCCTACAAAGACCATAAGGAGAATACTACTTCAGCTGTTTTCCAAATCAGTCATTATTCAGTTGAATCTGGATCACTTCTTTTCACACAAGGCAAGCGTAAGATCAGAGTACTAGTCTTCAGAAAGCAAATACTTTGAGAACAGTTCAGTAAGCCTGGGACTTGAGAGGTGACTGTCATCAAGGATCAAACATAACACTAAGAAGTCTGGTGTCTTCCTCTGAGGGCTGGAACCACAGACTTTCAGCTTTCCAGAGGACAGCCTGGAGACTTACATGATTGAGAAGGTACTGAACAATTATCTCATGGCCAGAAGCAGCTGCTTCCATCAGAGGTGTATATCCATACACTGGCTCCCTAGAGAAACACCAAACATGAACACATGAACTACAACAATCAAAGCTGAAATATGTTGCAGCCTTTGCCATATCCTAATAGCATGTCTCCAGCCTCTACCCTCAGCTGATCACAAATGCTACCTTGTATTGACTGCTCATCTGCACACTGGTCTACCTTAGCAAAACTCCCAGGGGAGATTCACTAAGTGTTACTCTTTTGGCAGCACAGCAATAGATTACTGTTCCAGTTGCAGATCTGCCTTTCGGTAGTGAAATCAGGTTTGCAAGAGCTAACAAAGCAAGAGCCTCCTGCTGACCTCAGGCAATCCAATACACATTAATGTAAGGCAGCTCCCATGGCATGGAAATGGACTGCACACTTCAGAAAAACAAACTGAGCTCCAAGTACACAGAAAACTCAGTAGAAAGACTTGTAAAGTGCACTTGAATTCAGAAGGCACTGCACCTGCTTGCTTTCAGTTTAGCCCATAATTAAACAAGCAGTAAATTTAATTTCTCTTTATCTTAGGTAAATAAACAGTAACGACGACTTCACTGCTTGTTTGCAGGTCACCTCTCCTTGTATGCCATGCTTCCTGAGGTATAGGAGGAAAGACAAAAATAAGTGTCTTCTCTGCCCATGTCCACGTGTGTTCCATAGGCCAACTGCTGCTGCCATACCTGACATCTGTTGAGAAATTACATGACAGATTCCTCCTTACTTGCAGTTGGCATTTGCCCCATTGTCCAGTAAGAACTTGACCATCTGCTGATGTCCAGCGCTGGTACAGTGAAATAAAGCAGTCCAGCCATGTATATCCTTCATCTCCAGCTCTGCACCTTGCTTCAAGAAAACAGAGAATGTTCTTTACTGCACCACTCTGCTAGGTCTTTTAGACACTGTCCCTCTGTGCTGGGACAACAAGAGAGTTTAAACCTTGTCAGGAAGCTGAACTTGCAAAAGAACACAAATTGCACATTTTGGTTGCAACTGGTGGAGAATCCTACCCTGTGCATTTAAACTGTTTACTGTGGCCTTAGCTATTTAATATGGCATACACACCTGTAGAAGAAAGTAAGCAACACTTTCATTTCCACAGCTGGAGGCAAGCATAAGCGGTGTCTGCCCTTCTGGTGTTGGGATGTTCACATTCACTCCTGCTTCCAGCAGCAGGTGCACAATGTTGTCATGGCCAATATAGGAGGCATACATCAGTGGAGTCCAACCACCACAATTCCTTTTATTCAGATCCAGATCTCCACTAAATAACAGAAAAAAATCAGGTGAATGACTGTCCTAGAGCTGTAAATCACAGTAGGCTTCTGGGGTCTCTTGCTACCATCATTGTATTGAAAGAAGGCTGGAAAAAATATCAGCCCTCTCAGCTGTAGCACAACTCCCAACAAATCACTAAAGAGATAATTTTTATCAGCAGATTTGCCCCTTGAAATTTTGTGCCTAAGAACCCTTTGGGAGCTCCAGTGATATGCCCCTGTTGCAATATTAGACCAACCTGCATGCAGCCAGTGAAAAACCATAACCGGCAGCAAGTAACCACAGACCTGTGCCCCCCCCAGCCCCTCCTTACCGCTGAATACACTCCTGCACCACTTCACACTGGCCGACAGAGGATGCTGTGTGCAAGTCCAGGGGGACATCCAGTTCTTCCCAACAGATCATTTGGCCAACCCCATGCCACATGGAAAGACTGCGGCTCAGCAGCTCCGACTCACTAGCTTCATCGCTCAGCTCTGACATCCTGCCCTGAGTAACCAAAGCAAAGCAGAACTTTGAGCTGCTGATCTCCATTTTCTACAGAACATGGCACTGCCCCTTAGCACTGCAGCTCCAAAGCGCCATGGCCTTGGAAGCTGAGGTCATCTCAGAGGTAGGGCACTGCTCCAAACTCCTACCTCTACTTTGATCACCTCCGTAACGTGAAGCTACAAGACTTGCTGAGGAGTTTTTGCAGCAGACTCTGGGATTTGAATACCCTGGAAAAATAAAAGCCAATAATGGTAAAAAAAACATCTTTTAAATCTCTTTTTAAGCCTTCAGAAGCACTGTCTTTATTTCTTCCCTTTCTAATCAAAACGTGCCTAAGGCAGCTTTGGATACCCTTAAAAAAAAAGTCAAGAGAAGACTGACTATGTACCTATTTAAGTGCTGATGGCATGCTCACTGTTACACAAAAGGATGGAATTCTTGGTTTAATAACAGAGAGAGCATTAATTCATGTGTCAGACATATCTGGTCTTTTTCCATATGTCTTATATTACAGGATGGCCCTGCTTAAATTAAGACATGGTCATTAATAATGACAACTGTCCACTGCTCTCAGAAGTAGTTAATATCACTTGAATAGGAGCACACTTCATGATGTCCTCAGGTCCTAAGTAGATTGTTGCTATCAGTTCTTGTTTCAGCACTTCAGAAGCAGCCCAGTCCCATCTCTGGATCTTGGCAATTGCTGGAACACTCTGAGCAGCAGTGACCTGCACATTCATTACCTGATCATGTCCACCACCCCTCAGGCAGTAACCTAATTACAAAGCTAGTGGAGTTGCATGACTGTCTGAAAGGTTTATTTCCCATCCCCAGCCTGAGGGACCAATTGCATATTAATCATTTTAACCACTCACAGGAGCGTTCTTGTTTGGCACTTCATAAAGTGCTGCTGGACAGAGCTGCATCTGTCATGTGAGGTCTTCAACCACAGCTTCAGACCACATCCAAGTCAACTCAATGGGAAGCATTTTCCACATTTCCTGTGGTCTTATCACCCACCACACAGCACTTCTGGTGTTTGCTTGGTCCCATACCATTATGCTGGGTAGCTAAGCCAACAGAAAGTATTCTTTTTCTTGATGAATTTCTTGCCAATTTAATTCCTGTTTCATTCTGGGGTCATGCAAATGCCAAATTTGGCATTGGTGAAGAATAAAAGAGAGCAGGAACACTTTTCAGCAGCAGTTGCTCTTTAGACTGCCCCAGCTGTAACATTTTGAAACAGTACTTACATTTTCCAAGCACTTGGGAGTCCCTCTTGCAAGCACCAGCCCCTTTTCTCGCAAGATAAGAAAAGTGCCTTTAATTCTTACCTCTTCACTCCCTACCTGGATCTGTCTCCCACACCTTACTTCCCCCCCCCCCACTCCTTCAGTTTGTCAAGACTACAAAAGCATTACCCATTCTACCTAATCAGCATGCGCTGGTAACGATTCCTTTAACATATCTGCAAATGCACTTATTTTTACCTAACAGCAGCAATTTGTATAACACTGGCAATCCAGAGCCTCAGGCAAGAATATGCAGGGCAGAAAACAAATGAAAGACAAGAACACCCTGCAACCAAAATACAGATGTATTTAAGTGGATCATAAGGGGGGGAGTAGGAGTGTTTCTCATTACAACAGATTAAAGCTGCTCCGGGTAGGCAAAAAGGCATGTTGACAGTTAAAGGAAGTTAAATCCAGAACAGTTTGTAGAAGTGTAGATGAAAGTGAAGCTCACTCTTCGCTCTGCAGGTCTCCTGTTAATCAGATATATGAAGCCCACAGGTGTTTGGCCTTTGTCCGAATCAGCCCCACCGCAGGTACTAGTTACCAACACAACTTTGGCAAGTTGATCCACAGTCAAGAGAGCAACATTGACACATGGAAAGTTATGCTTAACTCCAGAATATCCAGACTGTCAGCCTCATCCCTATCCCCTCCACTGTGCTCTAACTGCTGATGTCTTTGCCTTTCTCTTCACTCTGGATTTCACCCCAGCCTGATCTGGAGCATGATGTCAGCTGCGTAAGCACCTGAGAAAATACAGAGGGGAGCTGAGCAGAATCTAGAGGAGAACAAGAGAAGTGATCAGAGTCCTAAGGGCATAAATGAAAACCTAGGTGAAATGAAACGAGGGTTGTCTGGTCTAAAGAGAAGATGCCTGGAAGGGACATGTGATAACAGCCTTCAAATACATAAATGGTTGCTGCAGAGAGGATGACAGAAATAATCTGCTCCCTGTGGCCACAGTGAGCATGACAGGACATAACAGGCGTAACAGGCAAGTTTGCCGATGACACCAAGCTGTGTGGTTCGGTTGATACGCTGGAGGGAAGGAATGCCATCCAGAGGGACCTTGACACGCTTGTGAGGTGGGCTGATGCCAACCTCATGAAGTTTAACCATGACAAGTGCAAGGTCCTACACCTGGGTCAGAGCAATCCCAGGCACAGCTACAGGTTGGGCAGGGAAGAGATTCAGAGCAGCCCTGCAGAGAAGGATTTAGGGGTGCTGGTCGATGAGAAACTGAACATGGGCTGGCTTCACTGTGCGCTTGCAGCCCAGAAAGCCAACCGTATCCTGGAGCCAGCCATATCAAAAGGAGCGTGACCAGCAGGTCGAAGGAGGTGATCCTGCCCCTCTACTCTGCTCTTGCAAGACCTCACCTGGAGTATTGTGTACAGTTCTTGTGTCCTCAGCATATAAAGGACATGGGAACTGTTGGAACAAGTCCAGAGAAGGGCCACGAGGATGATCAGGGGACTGGAGCACCTCCTGTATGAAGACAGGCTGAGGAAGTTGGGGCTGTTCAGCCTGGAGAAGGCTGCATGGAGACTTCTTAGCAGCCTTCCAGTATCTGAAGGGGGCCTATAAGGATGCCGGGGAGGGACTCTTCATTAGGGACTGTAGTGACAGGGCAAGGGGTAACGGGTTAAAACTTAAACAGGGGAAGTTTAGATTGGATATAAGGAGGAAATTTTTCCTGTTAGGGTGGTGAGGCACTGGAACAGGTTGCCAAGAGAGGCTGTGAATGCTCCATCCCTGTCAGTGTTCAAGACCAGGTTGGACGAAGCCTTGGGTGAGATGTTTTAGGGTGAGGTGTCCCTGCCCATGGCAGGGGGGTTAGAACTAGATGATCTAAAGGTCCTTTCCAACCCTAACCATTCTATGATTCTATGAATTGTAGCATAGAAGATTTTTCGTTAAAGACCACCAAGATCCTTGTAAAACTAAGAAGAGTAGTACTGTGATGGATTACCAGAAGAGATTTGGCTGCTAAGAGTAAGCTAGACAAAGGCCTCCTGAAAACAGACTATTCTCTTGCTTTGGGGCAGAACAGTTAACATCTGTTAGAAACCTTCCTCAGCCCCAAGAGGCTGTTGCTAATATATTTACTACACCAACATGTAGCTATTTATCAGGATAAGTCCTGACCCTCAGAGCAGGCAGCAAACACCACACTGTCCCACATTGTGTTTGCTGTCTGGGCAGATGAGAAAGCCAGATAAAGAGAAATATACCATTAATATGAAAACTTAGTATGAAAACTGCCGCAAAAAGCACCTCAGAATACCTTTTTGGAGGGTAACTCTATGGAACAAGTGACAGAAAATAAGTGTGGCAGAAGAACCACACTAAAATAAATGGGAGGCAATTCCAGAAGCAACTGAGGCACCTAGTCCCCAGCACATGACAAATCCAACACTGCTGTTAATCGCCACCTACCAGGCACCACTAAGCTGTACTGGCTAAATTCATTCTCCCATCCTCTGCCACAAGGACAGGTAAAATCCACAGGGGTCCTTCTGTCCCAGAAGACACCCAAAACAGTACAAGTGTGGAGGTTGCTGGAGTTTCCAACTGAGCCATCAGACTGATAATATGCTTTTCTTCTGCTCCTGCCTTAGTTCTATCTCCACTAAATTCAGCAATAACCTAGCAGGAAGAAATAAGAAGCTTTGTTACATCCTTGTGTAGGTACCAATAATTGTTACGAGCTCAGTCACAACAAGTACTCCCAGAGACAGAATATCTCATCTTTGCACTACTGCTGTCTGCTGCTGACCAGAGATGAGCACACACTCACACTAGAGCTGTAGAAACTGCATCCAGTTTCACAGAATAGTGTGTGACAGGAAGTATTCCTGCAGCACAAGCTCCAGCTCAGGACCCACAGCTCCTACACAGACCTGTTGACAAGACACCAAGCTCTTCATCCTCATCAATATATATCAACATCTCTAAGGCTGGTGCTAGGGGAATGGTGCCAGACTCTTTTCAGTGGTAGCCAGAGACAGGACAAGGACAAATGGCCATAAAGTAAAACACAAGTTTCCCCTCAACGTAAGAAAGAGCTTCTTTTTACTGAGGGTGGCAGAGCACTGGAACAGGCTGCCCAGAGGGGTTGTGGAGTCTCCCTCTCTAGAGACATTTAAACCTATCTGTACATATTCTTGTGTAACCAGCTCTGGGTGGCCCTGCCTTGACAGGGGGTTGGACTGGATGATATCCAGATGTCCCTTCCAACTCTAATGGTTCTGTGATCTGTACCACAAACCTAGCACTCTCAAGCATGTTAAAGCACATATGTTCCCAAGAAGACAAGAAGCACAAAAACACTTTAACGGCTACGTTAAGGAGCACATTTCCCAGGACAAGGGCTATGCCAGACAAGGCAGACACCACAGCCCCCAGAGCTTGGTGCTGTGCAGGCTCCATAGAACCACATATAATAGTTTGGGTTGGAAGGGGTCTTAAAGCTCATGCAGTCCCAACCCCCTGCCACAGGCAAGGACACCTTCCACTACACCAGGCTGCTCCAAGCCCCGTCCAGCCTGGCCTTGAACACTGCCAGGGATGGGGCAGCCACAGCTTCTCTGGGCACCCTGTGCCAGCACCTCAGCACTCTCACAGGGAAGAACTTCTTCCTTATATCTAACCTGAACTGCCCCTGTTTAAGTTTAAACCCATTCCCCCTTGTCCTATCACCACAAGCCCTGATGAAGAGTCCCTCCCCAGCATCCTTACAGGCCCCCTTCAGATACTGGAAGGCTTCTATGAGGTCTCCACACAGCCTCTCTCTTCCAGGCTAAGCACCCCCAATTTTCTCAGCCTGTCTCTATAGGAGAGCTTCTCCAGCCCTGATAATCCCCGTGGGCTCCTCTGGGCTTGCTCCACCAGCTCCATGTCCTTATGTTGACAATACCCGATCTGTATACAGTGCTGCGAGTGGGGTTCCACGAGAGACCACACAACGATGTGTCCAAAGAGGAGGTCGGAGCTGTCACAACCAGTAACTGCAAGGCTGTTACGGTAAGTCTCACAGCTAAATAGCTTCCAAGCACATTATCCCGGCCCGGGCCTTCCTAGAGGCTAGGTCTTAACCTTCGCGGTGAGGTAGGCCGGGGCACCCCAGCGGCAGACCCCGCGCCGGTAGAGTGCCCCGGCCTACCCCACCGCGGAGCCGGCAGACCTCATCTAACGATCCACCGACCGCCTGGGGACAGCCCCATAGGCGGCTGCGCCCAACCCTCCCTATGGCCCCTGGAGCCCAGCCCCGAGTCCAACCCACGTCAAACCCCACCACCCCTCACCTGCACCCCGGTGAACTCCACTACCGGACGTCGTCCTTCCCGCGCAAGGAATGCCGGGAGCCCTCCCGACTACTAATTCCAATATCCTCTGCGGCGGGAAAGGGAAGCTCCACCTCCTAAGACTCAGGGCCAATAGGCGGAGCCTCTGTGAGGAGGCGGGGCGAAGGACAGCCAATGGGATTTGGTGCTCGGAGGGAGGGAGGGCCGGCGGAGCTAGACCGGTGGCTGAGGTGCCGGAGTGCGGAGTGGTGGTTTTACAGGTCTTTGAGCAGTGTTGTTGCTGACTGGCCCCTCCTGGGTTAAATTCATCTCTTAAGTCACGTTGGCGCCCGCCGGGAGCGGCTTCAGGAAGGCGGGTCGGGAGCGCGGGCGGCCGCTGACGGTGTTGCCGTGGTGACGCGGCCCGTGCCGCCATTTTGATGCTCGGTTGTCGGGGGGTCCTTCAGCAAGCGATACCGAAGCACTGCGGGTCCCGGGACCCTCCGGTAAGGTGGGTGCCGAGGGCAGGCGTTAGCTCATCCACAGGCCCTCGGCGGGCCAGTGAATACAACCCTGAAACCAGGGTTTCTTTCCTGCCCGCCTCCTGCATCTTCTTGGCATCTCCCTTCTGTCACACCCTGACAGTGAGGCTCCTGAATGGAATTCGCAGGAAATGTCACCTCTGGTGACGTGGAGAAGCTCGGGACTTCATGGTCATAGAATACTTTGGGTTGGAAGGGACCTTGAAAACCAATTTAGTTCAACACACCCCCCTCCCCCCCCTCCCCCCTTCAATGAGAAGGGACATCTTCAACTAGATCACATTGCCCAGAACCACATCCAGCCTGGCCTTCAATGTCTGCCAGGACAGGGCATCCACCACCTCTCTGGGCAACCTGTGCCAGAATTTTACCACTCTCATTGAGAAGAGTTTCTTCCTTGCATCCAGCCTCAATCTCCCTCTTCTAGTTTAAAACCTCCACACCTTATCCTATCACAACAGGCCCTGCTAAAAAGTCTCTTCCCATCTTTCTTATAGGCTCCTTCTAAGAACTCAAAGGCTGCAATAAGGTCTTCCTGGAGCCTGCATGTCTCCAGACTGAACATCCCCAGCCTTTCCTCAGACCCTCTGACCATTTTTGTGGCCACTGTCTGGACCCATGTCTCAATTGGCCCAAGCTCTCCAGAAAGTTTTTGTTGTGTTACAGCTAGAAAGTCTGCACTTTATTTTAAACATAAAGTACTGCTTTTTCCCAGAGAAGATGCTGGATTAGATGACTGATACTTCAGATCCAGTATAACATCCTTAACATTGGGAGGCTGAGCTCTCAAGTTGGCAGAGGGAGCTGCAGAAGACTGTTTTTATCCACACAGGACTCCTCTTGTTCCTTGCAACCTCTGCCTGCTGTCAGAGCACAGTAGTGCCGCCTTGGAGAGGTTTCCCTCCACTCTACCCAAATCAGTCAGGTGTTTTCTAGAATGGACAAAGCCACCATTATGTGGATATGGCATATGAAGTATTTGCAAATGCGCTTTCCAAGTTGTAAGCTTCCCTAAGCATGAGATGAGTTTCACTTTAGAGGAGCATTATCACTCCATGCCAATGCAAATAATAGTGACAGTGTAATCACATGGACAGTTATTTCAGTACTGAATAACATACAAACCTCTCAACCTTTCTTGCCAAACAAATTATTTGCTTTCACTTTTGAATCCCCAGGAAACTGTGCAACTGTAGCTTAAAATGTTAAAAGCAAAGGTTTTCCATGAGGATTAGTTATCTAACTTGTTAGTACAGCAGTAGTCCCTACTGTGTTTTCTTGACTCCTCATGTACATCAAGGAACACATGAGGAAAGAGTTTGCTTTATAAACACTTTGAAAGGTCAGAACCCAAGACCATGCCTACTCTCAACTATTTTTATAGAAATCCAGTGGAAAAAAAAAAACAAACATAAATCATTTTATCTATCATCTGAGCAGTGAGGAGGGGAACATGGGAGAAATAGGGACAAGGAATAAACACCAGCTGAGAGCAGAGGTATCAGCTCTGCCCTCCCTGCATGTCTTCCATTTCCATGCAGCAGTACTTCTCTGAGAACAGTTACACGTCAGTGTTGCTAAGAAACCCCAAAAATGGTTTATGAGGGGCTAAACTGCCTCTGATGTGGCCCCAATTATGGGTGTATATGGTGAGCAGGGCAGAAAGCTCTCAGCTCTCTGAACTCAGGAGGAAAGGCACAGCTCCAAAAGTGCGTTTTATTGTTCTCTGCTGATAGTGAAAACCCTGCTGAGAATTATAGTGACCCTGAAAGCACATGCTTTGTTCTTGTTCTGTTCTGATGTTACCTCTTGTGTTCTTTTGTGAGGTGTATTTCGGCTCGTCTTTCATTTGGCTGAAGGGAAGCTGTTCCAATGGCCTCAGAAAGGCAAAGAGAGGATACAGAACACCTGTTTGAGCCTCCTGCAGCTCCTTTTCAGAGTGGCAGAACGTTTCAATGGGGAGCTATACTTGCTGCAGTGAAAGATCAGCTCCCATCTCTGGACTCTGATGACTCCACAGTAAGCATTGAAACCTGCCTTTTTTTCTCACTGTCTTCTAGAAAAATCTCTCTCAAGCAAGAGAAGGTCATCCCAGCCAGGCATTTTCCAGTAGCTAGTATGATATCCTCGGTGGGCTACCTGTTCTAACTGTTGGAACACTGTGCATTAATCCACAGCCTTCTGGATTATCTCTAATTGGCAAAGTGTAAATGCCATCTCCTCTCGCTGTGTTCTTTGGAACCGGAAAAGGGGACTGTTTTCTCCAGACAATGAGTATTCCCAGGCTGGGAAGAGGAGGCAGTAGGCACCTTGCAGAATGAACCCACATTTCTTCTGTGTTCGGTTAAAAATACAGTATGAAAGAAGTGTACTGTTGATTTAAAATGAGATTATAAGGTTTTATGCATGAGTGTATTAAGTTACTCGTTCCAATAATGTACTTGCCGGACAGTAGCCCTGTGGGTATGTTTTTGTATGTATGAGGATCACAGGGAAGTGATATTCCTGAAGACTTTGTGGTCCACTGGAAAAGGCATTTGGCAGATATTTCAATCCTGGATTCTGCTTTTTTCCCTGCCTGTAATTCTCCACAGGCGATGTTGCCTTCTTGTGCTTCAATTCTACCTGCAAAGAAACATAATGCCACAAATCATTTAACATAAAGGCTAAGATTGATAGATACTGTGCAATATGCTTCACCATTTACTTGCTGGGTCTTAGTCTCTGGGACAGGCTGCCTCGTGGCTGCTGAAGATCTCTGTTCACAGGACAGTGACAGTCTGGTGGAAATAAAAGCTTCTCTGGCACAAGATGCTGCCTCTGGCATTGATTTTTCTGAGGTGATAATGCATCTCAAGGTTTGATTATTAGTGGCCTTTTATCTAAACCAGAATATTTTGTTAATTTTCAAGCATGCATAAACTCAAATTTTTAATTTTTTTTTAACACTGAAAGGATATATATTCTTAGTGTGGCCCTTACTGATAGAAAGGGAGTCTTGTGAGCAGTGAAGGAGCCAGAAATGCCTCCATGTGGTATTTATTACTTCAGACTAAGTCAATCATCAGAAGCAGGGTAAGCTAGTGGATAAAGTGGTGATACGGATTCCTTGACCGGTTTTCTGCACCCAGCTCTGTCTCTAACATGTGGGACAAGTTATAGTGCCTCAATGTTTCTCAGTTTCTCTCTACCCACGTTCTGGTTTAGTTATTTAAAACAATAATTTCTATATGTGTCTATATAATTAGGTTAAAGCCCAGTACTCAGGAGTTGGTTTTAGGCATTCTGACTGTGTAAGTGTACAATAAAGTTAAAACAGAGAGGCAGCTTATGTGACAATTTGGTAACAATACCATTCTATAAATCATGTTGAAATTTTTTATAACAAACTCCAAATTCTCTGTTCTATGACATCTGGAAATCCCTGCTGAGGGATCTGAGGCAGTCTGCTTGGTGCTTACATGCTACCCTTAATTTGCATTCAGAAGATCTGGTTGTATAATCCCCATCCTGCTTAGTGTGGACCAGTTCCCTGCTGAGCCTGCAGTTTCAGCGCTGCACCTTTGTCCATGTGGTTTCCACTTGTGTGAAGATACCTTTATGCATCTGAGATCTGTAATCTCAATCTGGTGTGCTCCTGTATTCAAAACCAGCACTGACAAATATGTTTAGTGTCCTGAAGTACATTTGTTACCCTGATACGCAATTTATTAAGAGGAAAGAAGTTCTGTTGCAATTTGCTTCATGTTAAGAAAAATTAATTACACCTGACAGAGAATTCTCTCCAGTGTGAGTTACTGAAAACATACACACAAAGGAACTAGCAGGAAATCGGTGTCCTGACTTCTGAGGAGGTGCTTAATCTTTTTTCAGTGACTAAGCATAAGGATTAATCTCAAATACATGTCCTATGTTCACAAAAGAAATTTTCAAAGCTATTTAAACTCCGTGCAACCAAGGAGATACTGCTTTACATCCTGAATAGTGAATGGCAGGCTCCAGATTGCAATAATAAGCCTCATGGTCCTGCCCTGCCCAGCCTCATCTGGGGCTCCCACCCATGTGTCAGCAGCTCTAGTTAAACTCAGTTCTGGGCATTCACTCTTTGGGCTGTGTTGGAGGAGTACTGGTTTCTGGTTACAGGTTTCCTTGATCCAGACTGTGAATTGACTTTCAGGCTTGATCTCTGACCTGTCTCATCACCACAATGCTGTCTTATATTTATATTCTTGGCTCAGCCTACTTGCTACTTCTGGTTTGTCCTGCTTACTTTGCTTGGGTACTGTAGGACTGGGCTTTAGCTTTCCAGTTATGTGCTTCCCCTTCCCTTGGGGAGCAGCAGTGCTCTTGTTGCTTTGTGATGGTGTATAGGGCAGTGCAAAGTTAGAGAATTTGCACACTCCTGTCCTTACTTTGCTCAGAGGAATGTTAGTCACCGGTGCCCATGGCAATTCAATGTTTTACATCGTTTTTATAACTGTAGCTTGCTCAAATGTTAGGTCACTGTAAAACTATCTAGAGTGAGGCTGTGAGTCTCTCCAGTCGGTGATGTGACATCAGAGAAAATTCTTGTGTCTGAACTGTAGTCACATGATGGCGACATAGGATTTGTCACTCAAAACAGATATTAAGGTGAGTGTTACAGACTCTCATTTAGTTTCTTTTTGGTTTTGATTGCAGCCTGACTGTGACAGTGATGGGGAGCTTTTCATCTTCCAGCGGGAGCAGCCAAACTTAATTCCTGACCTGTCAGAAGAACTGATGGAGTTTTCCTTGGATGATTCAAACATGCAGGTTGTTGACTGTTGTGTCTAGGCTCTATTACTGTAGCCCCCTCTCTTCTGGTTGTCACCAGTGTGGGTAGATGCTGTTATTTAACCTGTTTGACTGAAGTGTGTGATGGAAGAGCAGTCCCTAGTACCTTTTCCCCTAGAGACTAGTTTTTCTCCTTATGCCATTTTCTCTGTTCTTGAGTTTTTTAGACCCTTTTTCTCAGTTCCTATTATTGTTCTTTACTGTTTTCTTTTTTTCCTGTGCACTGACACTAACACTGTGCAATGATTTAAACTTTTGCAGGCTCTGAAATAATTTCAGCAACAATTTTATGTATCTAGAAAACAGCAAATCATTTAAGACAGTGGAGGGAGGTATGAAGTTTAACCCTTGAACAGTGTTTTTGAGATAAAATTATTACACTGCTTCTGCAGTGTTGAAGATGAGCCAGCATAGGAAGCTGGAAGATGAGCCAGCTGACCTGACCCTTCCATCATGGCAAGACTAACACAGTGCTGCTTTTTTCTAATTAACCTACTGTAAGGAATGTCATATGATGAACACATGTAAGGAAAATCAATTTTAAGGATTTTTAGCACTTCATGAAGTTCGTCTCTGGAAAGTAAACAGTCTAAACTGTTTTCCATGATGGACATGGTGTGTGCTGTTTCCAAATGGTGTCTGAGTTGGAGCTGCTATCTTAACATTGTGGCTTTATTTATCATCAGCTTCTAAAGCTTAGGGAGATATGACTTTCTAATTGTGTGTATTTTCTCTACCTGTATCAAACCCAGGGAACAGAAAGCCATCCATGGGAGATCTGTGGTGGAGATCTAGAAAGCTTTGGGTTTCAGAAAAAAACAGATAGTGCCCAAGTCATTGCAAAAGATGATGTACAAGTGATTAAAGATGAGACTCCCAGTCTTGCCAGCTATACTGAAGAAATGCGAAACCAAAAGGCAGCTGTTGGTGAAGAGTCTCTTGCAGATTCCACAGATTGCCTTGAAGGGGAAGAACTGGACAGGACACAGGCCAGGGAAATACAGACCTCTTGGCTTAATAAAGCATTGTCTGTGGAGGATTTGAGCAACTGGAAAGAGAGAAGAAAACTGATAGAGACAAAAATACTCTCCAAAACAATCCTGGAGCCATCGCAAGGCCACTCGGAGCCAGATTTCAAGCCTTCCTCCCATAATGTTAGCAACAGCCTATTAAAAACTGATAAGGAAGAAAACTCCTCAGATCATCTGAAAGGATCGACCCATCTATCACTGCGGGTAAGTAGCACAAACAATATGTTTTGGGGAGTGCTACTTGTTGAGTAGATGGCACAGAGCATTACTTGCAAAAACCTACTAAGATGAAGAACTGAAATGCCCAATTCTGCACACACCATGGTGTTTTTCATGGCTTTCTTCATTGTCCTGAGTTTGGGTTTTGCTGGGTCATGTGCTATGCAAGTTACCAAATGCTCTTGCAGAGCTGTTGTTAGAAGCCCATAATGGGAGGAAAACCCAAGGGTCAGCTGCATGTTTCATGGTCATAATCAGGACAGTCAACCACAACCTCTGGACTTGGGGAGGCAGGAACTCTTCTGATCTCAGCAGACTTTGCATTCAAACAGTTAACCTTCTGGCCTTTCACCATTTTGCCTTCTTTGTAACACTGGGGGGGGTGCTGGAGGTGAGGAGATAAAGCAGTTAGGCTTGTTCCTGAAGCCCTAAATCTCACCTACCTACAGCAGGTGCTTAGGGCCACTTGTGTGTGCTTAACTGGTATGTGGCCCTAGCATGGTGAGGTGGTTCTCTTCAGTACTAGTTATGCATCTCTACTTCCTCTATTGATTTTTAAGGTTGTTAAGACTTAATCAGCTCAGAACATGAACATGATAGTTCTGTTCAAAGCCGCCTATAGCATCAGAGTACAGACGTTTCCCTTCCCCTTTCATATATGCTCACAAATTGGTGTTAGAGCTGTTCTGGTACAGGCAAAGAACGCAGCTTCTTGCCTGTTTTAAACTGTGTTGCATCATTTAACTATACCGTTATGGGAGGGGATCTTTTCCATGTGGTTCAGGGTTTAATTCCCATCTCATCTCATGTAAGTCAGTTGCTCTATTAATTCAGGATGTGTAGCTGTCCTTTCAGAATCTGTTTGATATCACTGACTTCAATGAACTGAGGTCTGATGCTTTTGGGTGAGTACTGAGGCCAGGCTCAGTGTATTCTCACTTTGATAAAGGGAGGGTAAGGCTTTATCCTTCATGTGTATATTTAGATTTGAGAGGTGGTTGTTACTTCCCAGTTTAGCAAGGTTTAACATAAACCTCAGTTTATGTCAAGTTCTTAAAACCAATATACAGTTTCTTCTTGATTTTAATCATACCAGTTTGTTTAAAAATATTTTTCCCTTAAGTCCCTTTCTATATTAGAAATGGAATCATGCAAATCTTCATTTCTTCTAGTCCCTGTATAGTACCTTACAATAGTGCTACTCCTGGTAAGGGTTAGGAGAAGAAAGCCTTAATACAGCAGCTGAGGTGGTGGTTTGAGCTTTTGATAATAATGGTTTGTACTTAAGCAGTATTATTGAAACAGAAGCTTATTACAACTGCACCTTAATTAAAGCAAATGCATGTGTCAGGCTGTTTGGTAAAACAGCACCTGCGCTGCCCTGTGACATGACACTTGCTGCAGTAAGCTCACTTGTCAGCCATCCTTCCCTCCTCCAGACCAATACACCTCAGTGACATCCTTGAACCAGTATTAGCTGTGTGTGGTGTGAGACTTCAGCTTGTGATCCTCATCAGGCTTTTACCTTTCATCACCTGCAGTGTGTAATATCAGAACAGATCTAACCCTGGTTCAGGTGTGTATGAAGATTTATTGCTCAGGAAAAAGTGAGAATCCCCTCTTAAATGGCAGGGGCAGGTGACAGGTTTTTACAGGGCGAAACCCCTTGTCTGGGAGGCTGCTGCTGCTTTTCTAAAGCCCTGAGTAGTCACGTGAAATGCACATTGGGGGTGACACAATTGTCATAACTGGCAGCCACCTTTCTTTTAAAAAAAACATGGGAACTTCTAAGCTCTAGTGATATTTCAGTTAAAACTTTAATTTCAGCTAATATTCAAAGGGGAAAGCAATCAGTGCTTTAAATGCATGTAAGCTTTTATCATCACAGGCTGATTCTTATACCTAAGCAGGGTGCAGTGTGAGCATACCCACAGCCACTGTATGTGAGTCATAGCAGCAAAATTGATGATCCTGTCTTCAGTGTGGGATAAGCAGCTGTAAGATTGCATCTAATGCTGCCTGGGCCTAGAGGAGCGGGAATTTGCCCTGGCTGAAGTTGGACAGGGAAGTAAAGGCTGTGGGCCTCACCTCAAAGAATGAAAAAGCAGAAGGTCCTTCTAGTGTTGATAGCATTGAGAAGTTCTCACCATTATTCTGGTTGAGAACATGTATGTTTGGCCTTGTATCAAGTCATCTTTTAATGTGCTTTAGTATCTCCTGTGGTTTTGTGTAGCCTATATCAAAAGGATCCATGATTCTCAGAGGAAAAGCCCTTAGCAGAGGTAGATGAAGCAGCTCGACAGATGAGCTGTTGAAAGAGCCATAGCAAATGCATTCCTTTCATTACAGCACTTCCTTGTGGAGCTGCTTAAAGCAAGCTAGCAGTATAGTTAGGAACATCCTCTTGGAGATGGTGAAAGCTTGAGGGAAGAGTACTTGGAGGTGTGGACAGAGGGAAATAAAATCTGTTGGGATCTGGTACTGTTAGTGGGTCTGAGGGATGAGGGGGCGTACCTGCTGTGGGGAAGACTCCACCACGGGAATGCATGTGGAAGATGGAGCCATGAAGAGGACATACCATGACTTATGTCCCAGCTTATGGCAAGATGGGTCAGGTGGATGTTCAGAATGGACTTAGGTGTCTCCTTTTAAGAGGCTTTCAGTTCAGCCCATTATAGAAAATTCTTCTAGACTTCGCAGTTTTAAGTAGGGAGAGAGTACTCCACCTTCATATATTTGAATGAACACTGGTTAGTCCTTCACTGGTTTCTCGTAGCAGTCATACTGCACTTGGCTATGCTAGATGTGCAGAGCCTTGGCAGTGCTGTGAGGCAGGCAGTGTGCAAACAGCAAATGTCCTGCTGTTAGCTGTGTGCCGTGGTTTAAACCTGTGCCAACCACTGAGGCTCACACTGAAGCAACTGTGCCCACAGTGACACACCAGTTCATCTACTGGCAAGTGACAGTGGCTGTTAGGGGAGAACCTGCTGCCTGAGCATTCACACATGCACCACCCAAAACTTTTAACTGCTGGTTTAGTAGTAAGTTTTGGTGTGGGGACTTGTAACGCCCTATTAAGTTCCTTCTCTCTCTTCACACAGGCAGGCCTTTAAGTATTCTTGTTGAATTGCAGCTTCTGCTGATGGCTGTAGCCTCCTTCTGATTTGTGCTTCTTGTGTGCCTCTTGTTGTCAGAGCATGGGGCACTAAAACACTCCTAGATTTAGGATAAGCATTGCTCATCCACAACTAAAACATCACTGTATTAACAATATTCTTCTCATACTAAAGACAAAACAGAATGCTGCACCAGCTTCTAGGAAAATTACTAAGAAAACTAACTCTAGTCCAGATGAAAGCATTGCTAAGTGCAAGTCCACATCTTGTGGCTCAAACTATTTAAAACTTATTTATGCAAGATAACTAATATCTCTCAACAGTATCATAGTACTGGAGTAAGTAAGGTGGGCTTCCATGCCATTTGTGTATTTATATGTGCCAGGAGAATCTCATGGAGCTGCTACAAAGAATGTGAGACTTATTTTGTAGCAGTCTTTTGGGAAGGAATTTTCCGTCACATCTTGGCTGTCTACTTTCAGAGTATTGAAAAATGGGATCTAGACAAGATTCTTGAGGAGCTGGAGCAGCAGAAAGATAACACTCATGCAGAAGTTCCTTTCTCCTCAGCAGATCATGGTAACACTGCTAAATTAATACCAACTTTGCTGAAAGTGTATAAAAAATAAATAAAACTCAGGTTACTGTGTTTAAGTAATTCTTTGCAGCATCCTTTTGAATGCTGAAATCATGGTGAGTTTTTTTATTGCCTTTGTAAAACATTTTTAATTCATTTCCCTCACGAAGCCCCATCCCTGGCAGTGTTCAAGGCCAAGTTGGATGGGGGTTGGAGCAGCCTGGTCTAGTGGAAGGTGGTTGGAAATGAATGAGCTTTAAGGTCCATTCCAATCCAAACTAGTCTGGGATTCTATGATTTCATCTTGCTTTTGTAGCTTGAAAGCCGTGCTCTGTGGCTTGCCATGGCCTAAGATCGAATCAGAAAAGATGGATGAAGGTTTGAAGCGAGTCAGCCAGGTGATGATAGTACCTTTGTCCTTCCCCTTCTGACAGGCTGTGGAGAAAGGTTCAATGTGAAATTGGGGAAAGAGGATATTGGGTGATCCTGTGGCAGAGAAACACAACTGTTGATTCTTTTTGTTGCTCTTCTGTAGGCACCTTCAGGACTAAATCTGAAAATCAGCTCATGGAAAAGCTAAAAGAGCTGTGTGCCAGGCAGTCTAGGACTGTGTCTCCGTATTGCAGGTGGCCACCAGCCAAGCTCTCCTTTCAAGAACATCAGGAAAATAAGTAGGTCCTTTTTCTGTCATATACACTGGGTAATCCTGACTGTCAGTAGGGATACCTGGAATCTCATGGTTTTCTATAGGGGATTTTCTCTGTAGCTTCTGCAGAAAGCAGATATTCTAGTTGGAATACATCACAGGGATGTTAAAGGGAATAACTTAGACTCTGCCATACATGTACATTTGATGATAAACACTATCCTGCCACCTTAGTGTTTTCCATCAACCACCACCTTTGTCTAGACCTTACCAGACACTTGGGACAAGTGGGAAAGGCAGGAAAACAGGGCAAAGCAAATTATCATGGCCACATTTTTTGTCATCTAGGGTACTGCTTTCCCTTACTGGTACCTCAATTTAGCTAAAGTATACAGGATTATTTTTTTTGGGGGGGGAGAGGGTGTCAGCGCATCTTGAAGGGTTCAGTGTGAAGGAAGTGGATTTCCAGATTCTTTGGAAGGAGCATCATCAATGGTGGTAGCACAGAGGAAACAGTAGTGAAACAGACCAGTCAAGGGGAAGGTGAAGAGTTTCCTCATTTTCAGGGCAGGGAGAGCCACAAGAGTGATTTGCACCATAAATGCTCTGAAGGATGAAATAGAATTGGCAAAGGAGACAGAGGGGGGAAAAAAGGGACCTGGTTTTACTGATGGGCATAAGCTTTTTAAATGTGTAAGCGCTTTGGTACCATAACTGCTGCCTTTGTTCTTCAGAGCAATTTCATGTTGTCAGTTTTTGAGAACTAAGTATCTGCCACTATGCTACTTCTAGTCTCTGTTCCTCAGGGGAGGCTGAATCTTTGCACTCAGCTTTGAAAGGTGGTGGAGAGTAGGCAGAAGAGGAGTTTGAATCTGTGCAGTAGCCAAGCACAAAGCTCCTTTCACAATCCGTTTTGATCATAATCCACACCCTGCAGGGCTTCTTGTCTGGCTAAGGTGGAGGACATGCTGAAACAGAGTTTTCTGTGCTTAGAGGTGTTGCCTCTCCACGAAGTTCTTCAAGGATGGATATGGTGAGCTTACAGAGCCTGCCAGACCCTGCAACCGTGTACATCGACCTGAGAGATGCTAAACCACAGAAGTCAGTAACGTTCCCTGATGAGGAACAAAGGTAAAGTCTGGCTTTACTGTTAGTGAGAAGTGGGTAACAGAAAGTGAGAAGCTGAAACCTCTCTGCAGCTTGTATTTGTGAAATAGCTTTGAAAGTGTTCTCTCCTTCCACAGCTCTGTGACCTTAGTAGGAAAGTATAGCCCCATCTGAGTACAGTCATATTCTTAAGACTCGTGTCGGAACTCGTCAACGTGTGGGGCTGCAGGCAGCACAGCCACAATGTGCAAAACATCCAGGGATATCACATTTACAAAGTTTCCATTCGTAAAGGAGTAGGCAGGGACTGCAAAGCAGTGCTGGAGGCATTGGGCCACCGTTGTTACGTTTTGGGTACAAAATGGACATCATTTGCTACATTCCTGGCAAGCAAGGGTAGGTGCTGATTTCTGTCTCTTGTGGGGTAAGAGGGCCTTCTAGGGAGGGCTGAGAGGCCAAATCCTTCTCAGTCTGCAATAGATGCTGGCAAAGATGTTCTTCCCCCTAAAGCTAACAGTGTCTGAGGCAGCTGTTTGCTTCCTTCTCAAGGTGTACATTTGCTGGAGCAAGGGGTTGAAGAAAACAGTCCCCAGAAAAAAAACCTTGTAGTTAATAAACAGCTGATAGTTAAGAAACGCTAACAGGTTTTAATGTAGTTGCTTAATTTATTTTTTTGGCAAGAGTACTAGTGTGAAGAACTCTCTAACACCTGCAGCCTAGAAATGACAAAAAGCCAACTCCCAGTTGGAGCAGAGTTAACTCATATGGTCCAATTTGCTTCGTAGCACAAGTGACAGCTCCACTGAAGAAGAGACTATGACGACTGAGGACCAAGCAGAAAGGAGAAGGTGAGATTCTTTACCATGACCTTAATGCAAATTCTATGATGTTCAGTTTTTCTTCTGAAACTAAAATAATTGCCCTAACAGTGCTTACAGAGACCTCATGTACTGAAACATCTCTGTTTCTGGTCTTCACAGCAAAAAAGCCCAACAACAGCAGTGTTTCAGTCTGACCCTAGGATATCACTCATTTTCTGTTGCATAGTAAAGATACTGAAGCTAGAAAATAGTTGTTGATCCTTGAGGCAGTGCTGCACCTTGGTCCTGTATAGCTGCATGGGAACAGCTCAAAAGACAATAGAGCAGACCAGGGTGGCTGAGGAAACCTGGTGCTTTCTCCAGACTTGCCAGAGTGACATGAGAACTGTTTTTCAAATAACTCCGAATCAAACTGAAAATGTTGTAGGGAGCTGACTCAGACAAACCTTTATATTTAAAATAATAAAATAAGCTAGAATGGATGTTGATTTAAAGAGAGTATTGAGCACATTGTGGGCAGAGATGATCTCAAGTCTCCTTAACTGGGAGGAAACAAGTAGGGGAAAGGGGAGAGAATGTGGCGAACGGAATCCCAAACTGTAAATTCTTCAGTAGGCATGGATGCCAACCTATTCTGTTGCTAAAGTCAGGCTTGATTTATACCAATAGGTTGTTAAACACTTGTTTGATGCAAAGCAGCTGTGTCATGTTTTAAACACCTTACTGCGTTTAGGCTCTGGGTTACATCTTGCATGCATCAGGCTTCTAGATGTAATCCAGAGCCTAAATACAGTAAGTTCACATCACAGCAGTACAGAGGGCAAGAACACTTACAATGTTGTCCCAGCCAATTACTCTTTTTATTTTTTATTGGTTTGAAAGAATGCATGATTTGATGGGGAATGGAGCCTAACCAACATAATTTAGAACATCTAATCCAAAGCCAGAATAAAGCAGGGACAGGATGATGCTTGGGGAACTCTCACTGGCACTGATGCAAGTGCAGAAGTTTCATCAGTGTAAATCTGGAGTGAAGGAGAGCAGAGCTTAGCAGATTGGGTTTTGATTTGTTTTAATGTTGCTAAAGAACATGCACAAATGAAATGCCTGGCAAATGTTACTCAGTTCTTTTTCTAAATAAAAAAGTCTCAGAGGCTCAGCAGGGCAAGATATCTCATTCATGAGGGGTCAGTGACAGTTTCACTCTTATCTGGATGGGTTTATTAAACAGGGCTACATATGCTGTTCTACAATGTGCCTACATATTAGGAGAGTCAGTTGGTTTGATCTCCACTCACTTAACCTGAAGAAATACACTTTTATATTTGGAGTGGTTGGGTAGTCAGGGCCACCTCTAGCAAATACCATAAGGCTGCTCTCTCCTAAATTACCACTGCTTAGGCCTACTCCTTAGTAGTCCAGCCATCAGTGTGAAATATTGATTTGATGGTTCTGGATATGATGGCAGGAGATGTGGGATTCTTAAGGAGAAAGAATATTCTATTTTTTCTTTGTTCTGACATGCATAGGTTTAGTTCAGCTAAGTACAGCAGTATGATGCTCTGTGCTCATACCACCTAACCACAATATTAATATCCAATTCAATCTGTTACTCAGTCCATGTGTTTTTTAGCTGCCACTAAAATAAGGGGTATTATTTGCTCATAATCACCACATGAACTACAAAGTGGTAGCAGTCTTCCTGGAGCAGATGACTTGGGAGACATCACTGAGCAGAACTGCCAGAAAACATAACCGTATCTGCCCATTATGTCATGACAGGACGTTTCACAACAGAATACTATCACAATATTGTGGTTGCTGACAATTTAGCTGTCTCATTAACCTGGAGAAGACATAGATCAAATCAAGCCAAACACACAAAAATCCTAAAAATTATTAGAAGAACTTTTCTTATGTATGTATTTGAATCCCAACACTTGTATCCAAAGGGGTCAAAAATCTGTAGACTCTAATTTCCCTACCAACATCACATTTGTTCAGGGCTTTTCTGGAAGATGTGAGTTGTGCCTGCAATCCAGAACTGGTGACTAAATTGCCTGTAAGATGAGTGTAATTTTCTGTCACTGCAGTGTTCTCTATTGCCTATATGATGATGCTCCTATTAACAACAGCTGTTATTTGTGTAGATGTCCAGCCCTTGATTTTAGCTGTCACTCAGAGAAGTTCCTCCGAGTTTGAATTTATTCATATAATGCTTCATCTTGGTTAACTCCAGTTTTTATGTTCGTTGCAGGAGGAATTGTTCAGCGAAAAGCCTGCTACTCCAACAACTCCATAGAGCCCGTAATGAAGCCTCAGAGCTTTCTCATGAAACATCTACCCCAGCTGAAAAACTTGAAGGAATAAAACAGGATCCAGAAAGTCTGGAAGAGATAGGTTCATCTGAAATAAATCAAAGCCCGTATTCTGAAGTGAGGCAAGAGACAAGTGAGGTGATTCCCAGGATGAGATTGGAACCAGAGAAGACAAATACCCCGTTGTCGAGCCATGGGGGTAATGGAACTGAGATAGAGAAAGAAACCAAAATGGAAGCTGAGAAGGTTCAAACTTAAGGAAATTCTCCAGAGCCTCCTCTAACTACACCAGAATTGCCAAGGTATCACATGAGAGAGGTCCTCAGCTGTTGTCTATGACTTATCTGATTGTCTAAAATTAAAGAACATTACTTATCCAGTCTGCAAGTTGGAGCAAAAGGATATCTGGTTTTGTTACCTAGAAAGATGTCCAGTCCTGGTGGCTATTACTTAAAGGCTTACTGGATCAGTGAATTGGCCTGGGAGCAGACACACTATGGCAATTCTGACACTGGAAATGAAGCCATTTTCTTTAGGTTTTATCCTGTTTAAGAGGAGGGTAAGACAGTATTGATCTCCTTCATGAAGAATGGTACTGAAATTTACTAAGCACGGAAGGGTCTGTCTCCCTGTGCCAGTATAGAGTGAGGCAAAATCTAGCCCTTTCCTCACAGATCTTTGCTTAACTTATCTTCAAATCCTCAGTGGTGAGGGTTCCTTGAACCCCCCCAGGTAGAACCTTTCACTGCTTAATTCTACTTACAATTGTAAAGCTTTTCCTTAAGTCTAAATGATCATATCGCCAATTTAAGCTTTTTTTTTGGTTGTGTTCGCTGGAGGTATGGAAAACATTTTATTCTGTTTTCCAACATAAAAAACCTTTTATAAACTGGAATATGTATTGTGTCTTCCTTTGTAACTTTTTCCCAAACAAAGCAATTCTAACATTAAGAAAAGCACAAGAGCTTAGAGGGACAAAGTAAACCTCTAAGGAATGGGTTATGCCGCAGAAATATCTTGGAAAACTGCTTTTGTATTTAAAGAAAGAGAAATAAGGATGGTATCAACTGAGGAAATAGCATTCTTTGGGCCTCTGCCTCCTTGGGCTTAGTTTAATGTGGTGTATTTTGCATAAGGTCTAATTTGACACTTGAAATTGGGTGGTTGCCTTGTGCACCTGCCCAGCTATGTGGGAGAGCTCCATTATGCTTTCAGAGGTTATATTTTGCTATTTTGGGAGTGAAATTTTACCATTTTGACTTTGCATATAAGCCCTGGAAAGCGTGAGAACCTGTGTGCTCTAGAGACTGTTGCTTTTTTTGATGTTAAAACACTTGCCTACCCTGCCAATCAGACACTGTGCTTGGTTTAAATGGCAGCTGGTTGGTTGCAGAGTTTTTCTCTATGGAATTCCTGACATTAAAGCTTCCTGCTTCATCAGTTCTGTAAAACTGCATGTTGTCTACCTGTTAGCCTGCCACAGATCTGGCTGGGCCAAAATCTGGGTTATTTATTGTTGCTCTGTAATAGCTTCCAAGGATTTTAATGAATTTCAGTTTTATTGTTGGGGCACCTGGGGCTTGAAGAATTCAGGAGAAATTGAACTTCATATTTGCTGTGGAAATGGCAGATGAAATCTTTCTGCAGACATCAAAACAGAGAAAGCTGGAAGGCTTTGGGTCAGAGGAATGTGTCACTGTATGGCAGCAGATAGGAAAGGAAGTGGAGTTAGATGGGGAATTATGTTCAGGGATGAGATGTGAAACATCACAAACATGCCTCTGCTTAACAGAGTTCTGGTCTCCAAATAGACTGTCACCACTTACTAGAGGTCTGAAGCCTGCTCCTTTGCTTTTTTTTTTCAGGATTTTTTTATTTAGAGAGATGATTTTATCCAATGACAAGTTCTTGTGTGTGTGTGACCATGTCCCTGCCAAACAACATAAGCACTTTCTAAACCTGTTTTAGCCTCTCATGTCATGATTCACCCTCAAATGTGTGGTATAAATATAAGCAAAAGTACATGCAAACAGATGAATAAGGGTGCCTTTTTTTCCCAAGAGAAAAGCTTAAGCAAAACAGAATCTGTATATTTTTCAGGGCAGAAGAAAGTAAAAAAGAGCTATCCCAAAAGGAAGAACAGATGAAAGAGAGGCATAGGAGACACAGATTCCAGGAGCAGCTGGAGAGACTGCAGCCTCAGCAGTCAGTTACTGGAAAGCAGCCCATGGCAGAGAATACCCCTGTTTTGTTCCACATGTCTAGTGGTTTGGTGCAGGACTGTCCCTTTCAGAATGGTCTCCTAACTAAATGCAAGTGTGATTCCAGGAGCAAAAAGTAATTTTCATTGCATTATTTAAACTCTTTGTTATGGAGAACCATTACCTGATGACATGAGCAGTCCTACAGCTCTTCTCTGACACTAATATCTTTCTCACCTTTCCTGTAAGGGGGGTGCTCCCCCTATAGCTGCGCACTAGATTTGACATGTCAGTGTATGCCAGGAGTCCTGGCATGCTGAAGTCAGTGAGCTCAGTGTCATCTGCTTCACAAGCACCAGACTTTCACAAACATGATTAATCATAACCTTTTAGAAAAATCGAAGTTTGTTGTTTTATTTGGTTTGGTTTTTTTGTCATACTTCTAAAGCAGAGCTGGGTCTGTTTGTCTGCCCCAAGCAGCTTTGTATTTCAGTTTTGTGGGTAGGTTTTGAGGGTTCTGAGTTTAATAATAGGTTTTGCTCTTGACTGATGTCCTGATTAAGGAAGTATGAAATTATCCTGATTTTCTTCCAAGAGCCTAAGATATGGCTCAGAGGACAGGGCTGTTTTTCCTCCTGAGAAGACTTGTATATGTAGTCCTAATTCATCCTTGCACTGATCTCACTGAACACAAGGCCAGCTGAGAAGGTAAGAGGAGATGAGAACCTCTGGAGTTTGTCCATGAGTCCACCATAAAGATTTATTTGAACCCATAACAGTAACAAAGCTCTTCTGTCAATACACAAGTTGAAAGACCTTAGAGCCCTAAACTGGGAGATGGACCATTCACATCTGGATTTTTTGTAAGCAATTGACTGCTGTATTTCTGGAGATTGAAAGCTCATTTTTGTAGCACTGGATTAATTGCTGATGGGCAGCAAAGAACTAACAAAACTGGAGCTGACTCTCCCTCTGCCAGCTTGCTCTGGCAAGGCCAGTGCACTGCACAGAGTTCTGCTTTGAAGGTGTAAAGGTCATGAATGTAGTCTTCAGACTTGCTTCAGTCTCAGTGTCCTGGGAGGTACCACCAAATAAATTCCAGTTAGCCTTTATTAGGATGCAGGCATATAACTTGCTCATTGGAAATACACTTGGGCCTTCCTAACTCATTCCTGACAGTGCACCAAGTGATTGTTGAGTTGTTTTGCATCTTGATCATTTCCCACACTTGCTGTGCTGAAGCCAATGAAATGAAGATGAGGGCTTGGTAATGGGGTTTTCCCTCAAGTAGGGCTCAGGGAACAGCTACACTGTAGTCTTGCTGTAACTGAATTGCAGTGTAATGATGCCCATTAATAGACGTAATGATATTCCTGCCAGCTACTCATGGACAGTGGCATAAACTAACCAGCCCAGGGCTTACTCAGTGCCTGATGTTTGTAGAAACAGCTACCCAGTACCTGAACTGGCAGCCTGCTGGAGGGAAACCAGCCTGAGCTTACGACGCACTGTTGGTAGAAACAATATCAGCACAACCCATAATAACTTTGTTCTATGAGCGACTGCTCTTAGTTTTACTTCAGAAATATCCATTATTAAAATTAAGAAAGAAAAATGTATTGGCATCATCAAATACAAGTCATTTGTAAGATTACTTAAAATACATCTTGACAGCAGCATTTTTTCTTTGAGTTAGAACAGGTTTTTCTTTTCTTACTTTTTCTCTTTGTTGCTCAGAGGAGCACAGAAAAACTTGAATGTTTTGACATTTAAAACTAAAGAAGCTGTAATTTGGCAGCTGTATCTCAGTGAAAATATCTGATATCTATATATAAACATGTATATTCAAAGAACAAGCCACACTTTGACAGAGTAGCACACTTTCAAATTTGTTTTATAAGTCCTTTGTGTTGGCAATGATAGATGTTCAGATCTGGAACACTTGTCATAGTTTCCAGAATTCCTCTGACCATTTATAATGTACATAAATAATTGAACTGAATAAAAATCAGAGGGAAAGTTTAGAAACTCTGCAATTACTGAGGCTGAGGTGCTGGGAAAGAAAAACAAAGAAAATGTAAAAAGCTGCATTAGGGTTGCATTAGAGTTCTTGTCTAAAATTTAAAAGCAGTGACATTCAGATTTAATGCTGGTGGGCTTTTTCTTAACCTAGTTCAGTCAAACTCTGCTCAGCTTCACTCTGGGAAGCACTGATGTAAATGAGAATCAGGTTTGGGAAAAACACTTTCAAACCAGTGCAGGTAATTTAGGAGCCTAAGAACCAGCTTTCAGAGGTATTTCAGGTAAGCCAGCAGTGTGGTGATGGGATCCATACTGTGAAGTCAGGCTGAGTTAATAATTTAGAGTAACATGCACAGGCTTTGTTTCAGTATTTGGACAGAGTAAGCATAACTGACAAGGGAGACAGAGAAGGAATGCTGCACAGCATGTAAAATGCTTAAATGGAGGATGTGAAATGAAATGGGCTTGATTTGTCTTTCATCATGTGTATTATGACAGAGTAACTTACTACCAATGTTGATTTCTGTATTACATTCCCATTAGATTGGATCTGGATAATAGTTAATATCCCAGGCTAATATCTGAGTTTTATGTCAGGGAGCAGCACAAACAGGTTACTGTGTAAAAATAAGACAAGGGAGGAGCTGCAGGTGACAGCAAGGCAGGCAGGGGCAGAGACCTCACCAGTGAGGTGTACAGTCCCCCAGTACCCAAACAAGAGCAGAGCAGGTCCATTGAGAGTATCCGATTGGGAAGTCTGTAGGAATGAGGCAGGTTCTAAGATCGATGCCAGAAAGTCTATCTGGGGCAGGACTGGTCCAGTGACAGTCTAGGGCCAGGGTGGGCCAGCACCTCGGTGATCATCCAGGGAGTCTGTAGCGATAAAGCAGGTCTGAGATCAAGCCTCAGGGTCAGATCTGTTAGATATGGGCAGGGTTCACCTGAGTGACATGAGGCCTGGGAAAGGTACAGGTGTGATGTAGCTCAAGGTGACACCAAGGGTAAGTGTCTCAGCTTAAATGCAGCTCCCAAGTGAAGGAGAAGGGCTCAGCAGAGCCTTCACACCACTCATTAGTGATCTCATTTGACTTTACTCCCCTGATCTTGTGTCAGAACTGGCCTTGAACACCAGCATGGCCCTGATACTTCACTTCCCACTATGGAATTAATGTACCAGATAGCAACTGGTATTTAGCTTTTTCAAGCCTTTTATTACTGGGACAAAATAGGTATTCTCAGCAGGGCTTCAGCTTGCTTCTCTCTTTACTGTTACTGCTCTATTGTGATATGGCAGAACAAGATAAGAAGTTTGAAAGCTGTTTGAAGCCACTTTGCTATCAGTACGTTATAAACACTGTTTTATCTACCTTGTACAGCTAAACTGTTTGGCAGATGAATGTTTTGACTCTTACTGAAGCATCTAATTTTTCTTGGCTACACAATCACTTTGGCTTACCTCATATTAGTAATTATATTACCATGATCATCATCTTAGTGCAGCTTAGCCTTACAGCTGGCTTACAAAAACATTCAGGCATGCAACAGACTTATTCTAGCTTAACAAATCTGTTATGACGATATTTTTTCTTCTCATAAACATAGACTCTGTAACCTTTCTGCCAAAATTGGTAGGGTTTTTAGATTAAGATACCATTGACTCAGCTCACTACTCTAAGGTAAAATTCTCAGCTGAAAGTTTTTCTGCTTGCATTCCCACAAAGCTAACATTACCAATACACTATGTCAAAATCTTCTGTCCCCTATTAGGGCTTTATTCTCCCTTAGATCTGATATTGCTCCTATAGTAAAATCCCTGACAAAATTCCTTGCCATCAGGAGTAGTGCCAAAGCATTTATGTTTAGTCACTGTGGCAGTTACCCTGGATTAGCCCAGTATAACTGAAAGTAGAGGTAGATTTCCAAGCTTGTAGAAAGATTTTAGTTCAATTACTGCTCCCATATGGGTGTGTTTTGTTCTTTATGGTCTGGGATTTTTTTGTATATATAGTAGGTGCCTTGATCCACACTGTGGTCAGTGAAAAGCTTTTGATTTGTTACCTGTCTTACTAGAATAGGTGTTCATGATTTCCATTACTTCTGTACAGGTGTCTTGATCTCTTTAAGGTAGCATTGGGAATTGCCTTTTTCTGGTGTCTTACCTGAGCACAAAGTGTTGCTCATGAGCACTGAGGGCTCCAGGATCCTAACCCAACAGTTTACCAGCTGGACTGATTGACTTTGGTATTTCACAAACTCCATTGCAGAACTTCTCACATGAATACACTTAGGTGATGTCCTAAGCAATTTTTTAAAAGTCTTCATTTTTAATGTTGTGTGGAGAATGCATAAAGGAAAAAATGGTAAGAAAGTGAAATTCATGTCTTGATAGAGAGAATGTAGAAAGACCTGATCTACCAGTTATGAAAGAAATAGGGTTTGAGCTAGTTCTGTACAGAAATACCAATTAATCTTCTACAAAGTGGTGATTATACATCTTTGGAGAAGTGGAGACAAACTGTACAATCTTATTTCAGTCATAATGATCTTGTGGCACAGTAACTGAGTTTTTCTATATCTGTATTACTCTAAAACTGGGCTTATGAGTATAAATCACCCTGTGACCAAATGTTTTCATACATACTGAACCAAAGCCACTGCTACATTTGCACCTGTGTGGATGTAACTGAACCCAGCATTGAGCCCTTGCTATTATTTTACTATAGCTTTAAAAAAAAAGCACATTAACTATTAACATTACAAACTATTTCCTACCCTAAATCTTTTTCTGACATCGGAGCTGAATTTGGCTTGTGCTTCACTCCCGGACTGTCTGCAGGGCTGTGGCCGGCAGCAATGTGCCAACCAGCCTGCAGATGGCCCCTGAATCTCTCCCCTGGTTTTTGCAGGGAGGGATTTAATGAGTTCCTGAAACAAGATTCAAATCTGTTGTACTTAATGAACTTGCTGCCTCAATTCAAGAAAGGCTTAAAAATAAACGAAGGCAATTAGAGATGTAGTTAAATTTAGCATGCATAATCAGA